GCAATTCGATTCGGTCATGGCAAGTTAGATAACCTTGCGTTGAATCTAATATTCCTCTTGTAAATACCTACATTCTCCTCAAGCTTCTTATCATGGTTACCCAACAAGTCCTGAATGAGGTGGATGAAGTTGTTTTTTGTGGAGGAGCTTCATAGGAACAAAGGAAAAGAATAAAAAAAAAAGACGGAAGTTATGGAGCTGTGCTGTCTTCATTCTGTGAATTGGGAAGTCATGTGTAAAGCTTGAGAACGAATTTTGAGGCGTGTTCTGCAGTGGGTATCAATCCTTGTGTATCAGAAGAGATAATCTAAAGCGCTTTGAGGGGCCAAGCTAGATTCAAGAGGTTATGTGCGAGGAGATCAAAAAGCGACCTTACTGAATGCACAAGATTTATTTTTCCAAATTAACCAGCTTTTGGTTTAGACAAAATTCTTATTGCTAGGACAGTGCGTGATAGTAAGCAGGGAGGATCAGTCAATTGGGGCTCATGATTATCTGCAACTGGACATAATGTAAGTTGGAAGCCTAAACTGTAAGCAGTCTTATATTAAAATTTCTAAGGCCAATGTCAGTGTACGATAGGATCTAATATCTTATCCCCATGTTGATAAACTTATTATGGTGTACTTAACGAGTATAAGCGAGCTTCGTGTTCGAGTCTATCTGTGGTGGATTGCACTTGTTATTCAATGCGAAGACTCAAGAGATATTGGTGTACCTAAATTTTGTCTAACTAAGACATAACGCGGTAAGACACTGAAATGCGCGAATAGGTCACAAAATGCTAAAAATATTATTGGCCTGGAATTGTACAGTTGATTAAAAACATTTAATATCAGCTAGGTGAAAGAGAGGTGACTTAGGGTGCGTTTGGGACGGCTGCAGCTGTCCTTAAAGTAGTTTGTGAAATTGTTGTACAGAAAGTTACTTCTTGAAGTTGTTTTATATAAATCATTATATTTTGTTTGGATAGTGTAACTGTAGAGCTGCTGTGCTGCAGCTGCATGGGAACAATTTACCTTCATACCCTTATATATTTAGATGAAATATATAATTTTTTTAAATTTAAAATTTTTTAAATGCATATGATAATCAACTAACAATTCTATGACCCCGGCGTCCCTACCCTTGCAGCTCCCCTTCACAGCCTGCAGAGTCGATCTCAAGCCATGGCCCTTCTGGAGCAAGAAGGTTTTCGAATCCGTCGACGTGGGCGATAGGACCTTTTCTGGAACCTTCGCCACGCCAAATTCTCCGGTGGAGGTTTATCCCAGCGAAAGCGACGCAGCGGGCATCTCCTACTCTTATCGCGGAGGCGTTGCTTGATGATCCGGCGAACGCCTTCTTTGCTCTAATTTCTCAGTACTGCATACCTCTCCATTCTTTCCGGTACGTTTACCACACGCTCATCTCCGACCCAGGCGTCCCTACCCTTGCAGCTCCCCTTCACAGCCGACACCGCAGTTTTATCCAGATAGTGGCCGATGATCCTGTCCTTCGCAATCGCTAGATCGCTCGAGGAGACAATGCGATGCTTCCTTAGGTCCCCTTCGAACGATTTCGAGTGGGTTCCCAGTTCTTTGTTCTTGCTCGCCGGCACGCCCTTCTCGTTGTCCGTGACCGTCGACTCTGGAAGAAGTTCCGAATGCCATGCCTAAAGAAGATGGAGTCCTCCTGCTACCCAGAGGAACATCACTTCCCCACGCTTCTCGATATGCAGGATCCCGATGGTTGCACTCCATATTCTCTTACCAGAGTGAATTGGACTGATAGTGTTGATGGACATCCCCACACCTATCTTCCTGCAGAGATCTCCGGTGATCTCATCCTGGATCTCCGGCTGTCGAACTCCACCTATTCCTACCTCAGCGAAAGCCTAGAAACGGACCAAGGCGCGGTCGTCGCTCGACGACGCGAAGATGGTTTTGAGGGGCGTCTGTGTCGCCGAAGCCTCGGAGGTCGGGGGCCACGGCGCGGTACCAGCCGGCAGCGAGGAAGACAATCTGACGGCGAGAGTTACGTGAGCGTTTTTGGTTCCATAGTAAGGGCATTAGCGAAATCTCATAGATACAAACAGCGGGAAGCAGCCGAAACGCGGAGTCTTCCGCCCGACGTGAGAAGCAACTGCAGGACGCAAAAATTTTGAGAACGGAGCACGAACGTGTACTCCCAAACCACCTCTGGGTTGCGTTTCATACAGTGCAGCAGGGAAACAGCCGTCCCAAACGAAGCCTTAGCCTTTTTTTTATAAAGCATTGGAAACTGATAGTGTCAGGCTGATAGCTGCAAACCCTCTGGATAAAAACATAACTTCTTTTATGTAAACATTGGAAAATGTAGCTAGAGAATATTTTATTTTATTTTTTGAAAAACTAACTTTTACTGTTATTTTTTAAAGATTTAACCTTAATAAAAATACAACAACAACAACAAGCCTTTATCCCACTACGTGAGGTCGGCTACATGAATCTTTTTTTCTCCATTGTGTTCTATTAAAAATCAAATTCTCGTTTAAATCTAATAAAGAAAGGTCATTCCTAATATTTTCTAACCAAGTTTTTTTAGGTCTACCCCTACCTTTCTTAACATAAGTCAAATCTAATACCTCTACTATCCTAACCGGGTCATCGGAAGGCCATCGTTTTATGTGACCAAACCATCTAAGGCGACTCTCTCTAATCTTATCTTCTACTGGAGCTACTCCAACCTTTTCACGTATATGCTCATTATCTTGTCGAACAATAATGACATGAATCCTATAAAAATAATATTTACCTAAATTTTAAAAAACCTACATTTAATAAAAATAGTAATTACTTAATTTTTAAAAAACTTAAAAATTTTTCAAGCCGGCTCGCGAGCTCACGAGCCGAGCCTCATCAAGCTCGAGCTCGAGCTCGACTCGTGAGCTCGATAAGTTCGGCTCGCGAGCCCATAAACGAGTCGAGCTCGAGCCAGCTCGTGAGCCGGCTCGGCTCACTTACACCCTTAATCAGGGTTCACAAATTAATAAAAGCATGAAAAAATAGAATCTCTCGCATAACATTAAAGGAATGTAAAATTCTGATGTATTATTGTAAACCTTTTTGTCGATGCATAAACGTAGGGGTGTCAATATTTGACACGACCATAAAGCCGACCTAAAATTTTAGGGTTATGGTCAACCCATTTCACAAATGGGCCGAATTCAGGTTCCCGAATTCAACCTGTTTGGAAAAAACGAGTCACGTTCGGGTTGACCCGGAGAATTCAACTGAACCTAGATTAACCCTTTTGAAATGCACTGACCGTGTCTTCCCGCGTACCACGTAGCACTGACCTCGTCTATCCACATCGGGTCGTCTGTTGTCCCATATCTGCCCGCTGTCCCGCGCTGCCCACTATCCCCGTGTCTACTCGTTGTCCCACGTTGGCAGCCTATGCCGATGCGATCCTCGTCGCCCTGCACGTCCGTGTGGCGCGTCGTTCCGGGTTTACAAAACCATGTCGGGTCATGAAAACCCGGTAATTCGATGGGTTGGGTCCAGGCCTGAAATTTCAACCCGTTTACATAACCAGGTTGGGTTAGGGTCAACCCAATTGAACTCGGGTCAATTCTGAATTTGATTTGAGCCTGACCCAAAATCCAATTTTGACAACCCTACATGAAAGAGAGTATTCAATTTTATGAAAAATATGGTACTCGGAAAGCAAATATTCTTCCTAATTGAGGCATCAAAGTTGAATTCACTAATTATTTTTTCTCTGTTCCGTTAAACCATGCTACATTAAGTCGTATAAACTTTATTGACACATAATTCATAAACTAGTTATTAATTATAAGTGATAGAAAGATTATTTTAGCAAAACATAAATATAACTAAAATGTGTAATGTGTAACATTTATGATTAATAAATAGCTTATATTATCTTAGTACTATCAATATAAATATTAGCTCATATTTAGAACGCATATTTATGATGCATTTCAGCGTCAATATTTCTTAATTATTTTCTTTTATGAAAGGGTTGTCTAGAGGGTTTAAAGTAGGACAACTTGCATCTATGGGCTGCCAAATGAGCTGGTCATCTTTAGGCAAGCAACCAAAAAACTTATTGCCCTTAAAATTGTTTTAGAACACTGCCATAAAGAATAATAAGTATAAATTGATATAAGATCATAAATTTTTTTGGTATAATCATATTTCAAATCGAGTTAATTTTGCTTTCAACCTCAACATTAAACCATTTATATATTTAGCATCAAAATTTTACTATTTATAAAATATAACACTGAACATTTGTAAACAGATGAAACCTTCATCATGGTAAAGACAATGATATCTCTTGGAGTTGGGAATCACCAAGACAGAATGAGGAAGTCACGGTGAGTTCTAGTAGTAGATGTGAGGTCAAGGAAGTCACAATGGAATCTAGAGGTAAGAGTTGCGATGAAATCTCGTTAGGACATAGGAAGGCCGGAATTTATAATGAGATTCATGAGACTCGATGGTATGTGTTGTGATAAGGATAAAGGGAAACATGACATATGAATCATATTATGGTGATAGAATGATTGCAAAGAAAGAAAAGTGAGTATTTTTTTAATGTAATTTATAAATTTCTTATATAATTTTAAATAAATAATAAACTTTTAGTGTTAAATATATGAGAAGTGAGTTTTGAGTACTTAAAATTTGTACATACCTAACAAAAATTTATTTCCTGTGGCAACCGGCTACTGACCCCGAAGGCCGGTAAGTCCGCGGCCTGGTTGAACTCAATTTCACTGACGGAAACTTCCGAGTGGGCGCGACCTATTTTCCCACAAATCTGCAATTTCCCAATCCATTCTTTATTCGCGGTCTACCATACCATACCACAGCCAATTTAAATTTTGAATCTTGTTCGTTCAAAACCACCCAACGGATATTAAGCTATAACGGTCGAATCCAATACAAAAGACTACAGACTTCTTCTGCTTACCCTTGTTTTATTTTCTCCAGTTCCGAAATCTCCTCTCTATTCTCTTTATTTCTCTCAATCTCTCTCATTGGCTCCTCAATGGAAACTCCGATGGTCAAAATCCAATCCGACAACTTCTCTTCATCTCACGTTAGGGTTTCTCTCAGAGTGCGCCCTTTCTTGCCCCAAGAGATCGAAAAAGATGGGAGCAAACCAGCCTCATGCATCTCACTGCTAGATCAAGTGGGTAAAGAAGTCACTGTACATCTCAAAGATCAAACGACAAGGTAAGAATTCTATTTATCTTTCTTCTACCTTACTTAATTTAAACCTCTGTATAATCTTGACCCCACTAATATTCAGCCGAAATGAGTGCTACAAACTTGATTCATTCTTTGGACAAGAAGACCGGATTAATCTTATCTTTCAGAAGGAGGTTAGCTCAGTGATCCCAGGGATTTTTCATGGGCACAATGCTACGGTCTTCGCGTATGGAGCAACTGGTAGTGGGAAAACGTATACCATGCAGGGTACAGAGAACGAACTTGGCCTTATTCCCTTAGCCATGTCAGCTATCTTGTCTTTAAGCAAGAGCATGCAGAGCTTAGTGGAAATTTCCTATTATGAAGTGTATATGGATCGGTGTTATGATCTCTTAGAACCCAAAGCGAAGGAGATAATGCCATTGGATGATATGAATGGAAGGGTTCAGCTCAAGGGACTTTCTTTGGTAAGTGTTTCATGGTTCCATTGTTTTGAGAAATTGAAGAAAAACTTACTTTGTAATTGTTTTCCTCCCTCGCGTTCATAGGTTCCTGTGTCCTCAATGGACGAGTTCTACGAAATTTACTCCATTGGTGTTCAGAGAAGAAAGGTTGCTCATACTGGACTTAATGATGTCTCTAGTCGTAGTCATGCTGTTCTTGTTATTGCAGTTAGAAATGGCGGTGTTAATGGAAAGCTCAATCTTATTGACCTAGCAGGTCTTAAATTTTTTTGTGAGATTTAATTTAAATATCTATAAGAAATATCATTTCTTATTTATCAAATCCTCATGTTCTTCAGGCAATGAAGATAATAAAAGAACGTGCAATAAAGGGATTAGACTTCAAGAAAGTGCAAAGATCAACCAAAGTTTATTTGCTTTGTCTAATGTAATATATGCTTTGAACAACAATGAACCAAGAATTCCATTCAGAGAGAGCAAATTGACCAGGATATTGCAGGATTCGCTTGGAGGTGACAGTCGTGCTTTCATGATTGCTTGCCTTGTAAGAACTTTATTTATTTGTTTGTTTTAGAATAATAAGTGAAAATCGTTAAGTTGACTATGCCATCTTAGAGGAACAATCTTCTCCTTCTCTTATTGGGCAACAGATCCTTCTACATAGCTGTAGTACATCAAAGTAATGTATGGTGATGTGATTTGTTGTTTATAATTTTTTACTTCTAATTCAGAATCCTGGTTCATATCAAGAGGCTGTCCACACAGTTAGCTTAGCTGCTCGCTCTCGTCAGATTGTGAACTATTTTGGTTCAGAAAGAAGGAAAGAAATTCCAAACGAAACTGTTGACATGGAAGCAAAGCTAAGAGCTTGGCTTGAATCCAAGGGCAAGACAAAAAGTATTCAAAGGATGAATGGACTTTGTTCTCCTCTGCGCAGAACTCCAACATCTCTTTGTTATTCAAAGAATTTAGTATTCAGCCGTACTTCTATAAAAGCAAAGAATGCCGAAAGCCTTTCTGTTACTACTAAGGGGAGGTAAATCTTCTTTCTCTGCTTTTGTGGATCACTTTGGGAAATAATATTATGGGAATCATAACTTAATTTAGTCTTATTGTCTTTACAGAAAATTGTTTGATTCTGAGGCTTTTATTTCATCTTATGCGAAGGTAACATTCATTTGCGTACTCATAATTCTCCTTTTCTTTGAAAATAAAGATTCCTTTTACATACATAAGTCACCCATTTTCTTACTAAATCCTCTATCAACAGTCATAAGAAATAAGAGATTTCAGTGCGCACAAATAAATCCCCCTTTGTTTTATTTAACTTTTTGTAAACCAGTTAAGGATCAGCTCGAACATTCCAAGCTTTACTATTCTTAATCTAGCATTGCTTTGTATTTTATTTTACTTGTAAATTAGTCAGTACGAAGTATTTTACTGTACTTCTTCTTAGCCACACAGAATCAGCTGGAACATGGTCAGCTTTACTATTCTTAATCTAGAATCATTTAGTATTTTATTGTGCTTTTATATAAGTCAGTACGTAGTATTTACTTATACTTTAAACCAGCAAATAATCAATTGTGACATTCTAAGATTTACTGCTCTTAATCTAGCATTAAATAGTATTTTTTTCTAATTATATATAAGTTAGTACATAGTATTTTATTGTGCTTTTAAACCGCAAGGATCAATTGGAACATTCTAAGCTATACTGCTCTTCATCTAGCATTATTTAGTATTTTCGTATGCTTGAATATGTTTAAGTTAATACATATTATTTCTATCTATCCCTGGATAATTAGAAACGGATAGGATTCCAGAGGTATTAGGGGGCTTGTAAACTCTAAAGAGCATATTGGTAAGAGAGGTTTGTAATTTTCGCCTCGAGTGTTGCAAGTAGCATATGCAAATGGCCAAATAAGAAGTGGGAGTGTTTCTCGTCTCTCAAAAATTTGAAAGACATCCTATGTTTTGCATGTTTAATTTAAAAAAAATATTATTAAATTATTTTGTAATCATCTATATTAAAGAAGCTTTTCCCCTTGCACCCTCTCTCATTTGAAATCTCATTTCCTCCACTAAAATGTGCATGTCTAAAATTTTCATTTAAAATTTCTCTTGCAGGCTGCAAATAAAAATCAGAAACCAGAAACTTGCATTGATAGAAAAATGGAAGATCAAACAAAGTGTAGTGGTAGTACTCAATTTCCCTTGTGTACCTTGCAGTTCAAATAAATGTTTTTATACCTACTCCTTTTCTGTGCAGACAAAATGAGCGAAAGGACGCAAAAATTAGATAATTCCCACCAGAACGCCCTTTCTCCAATAAAACCAACTAGCAATGAATTATCTGATGATAATAGCACATTCTTTTCTGTGCTAGATTCAAAAATTCCAGTAACTCCTTTTTCTTTGGCTAGTCAAAGCAGTAAATTTGAAACCAGCAGCATTCTACTTGATAAATTCAAGGTATTGATTGAGCTCTAATTAGATGTTTTATAGATAAATATTCTCTGTTTTTCACATCAATGCCATGCCCACTTGTGCAGGAATCACTTGAGGAGGAATATATCTCATTCCTGAATGTTGCCAGCAAGTAAGTTTCATTTTATTTTTATTTTTATGTGATTTTTTTTATAAAATATAAGCAATTAAGGATTTCAGACTTCGAATATCTTTTCATTTCTTTCCATTCATCCCTTCAGATAAATAAAGAAAATCAGCATTCACAAAAAAATGCCGAATGACTTTTGATTGGAAAACATTTTTTATAATGATAATTTGGCCTTTTATAATTAACAACTAACACCAAAACAAGAAAGGAAATATACAAAATAGTGTGTAACAAAGAAAATTTTAGTACACATTATTAATAAAACAAAGTAATTAAGGATTTCAGACTTCGAATCACTTTTCATTTCCTTCCATTCAACCCTTCAGATCAATCAAGAAAATCAGCTTTCACAAAGTGAAAATTGCTTATTCAACAAAAAAAAAAAATGCTGAATGACATATGTTTGGAAAAGATAATTTGGCCTTTTTTAGTTAACACTAACACCAAAACAAGAAAGGAACTATACAAAATAGTGTGTACCAAACAAAAGTTTGATATTTCAGACAGGAATTCCTAGAATTTAATTTCATTCACTACCCTCTCTATAGGACGCTGTAACTAGATGAATCTTTAATTTTATATTTGTTTGTTTTGTTTTGACTTGATTCAACTGATACATTGGCTCTTGGTTTTTTATTTTCCTCCTACCTTTAATACAGAGAAGAGCTTATGCTTCTAAAGGTAATTTTTAAATATTTCTCTCTGAAATCAGATAGGGCAATTTTCATTAACTTTACTTTGATTAAACTGTTTTATTGCATTTGTGCTTATAGGGAATTGGTCAAAAAAGAGCAGAAAGTATACTTGAGCTAAGAAAAAGCTCCCCCAGGCCACTTAAATCAGTAAGTAACACCATAACAATTTTAGCTTAAGCCTAAAAAAGTTTTCTTATTTAAGAAATTCTTTTCTTGATGATTACAGTTGTCGGATTTAGAGAAGATAGGCCTTTCTACCAAGCAGGTGAGCCGAGTCTTTTCTTCATTGTTAATTAGTTGATATTAATTTATGCCTTCATCGAGATTTATAGCCCTTTTACTGTCAAAAAAACATTTTATATGCATAATAGTATTTCAGACATTAGATCTTTACAATTTTTCTTTACACAGGTGCAGGAGTTATTCAAAAGAGGAGCAAGAGGAATATTTACCTGAGAGAGAGGATTTGGCATTGTCCCGAATCAATTCATTGCATGTAAACTTGTGATTGCGATCAAAGTATTTTTGATATTGTGGAGCAATTTCATCATTAGTTTGAGAAAGTTCTGTAGCATTTTTTTGGTTGGTTTGTATAATATATGTCCTGAATCAATTTTATTGAAGAATTCTGAATGTTACCTTGTGGTGTTCTCATCCATGCATTTTTGATAGAATGGCGCCATTTTATTATCTGTTTGAGTTATGTTGAACTTGATTAATTGTTTGTATAATAGTTGAACTGGGGGCAATTTTAGAGTCTCCTAGATCTCTATATTTTTAAGGTGGAGGACTTCATATTGTTATGTTATCAACAAATAGACTTCTTGTGTGCATGTTTAATTTCATTCAAATTCATAATCTTATGCCATAAGAAGTAATTCTTTGACAATTAATTTAGGATTTTTATTTTACTTTTATTTTAAATTATGCATGTGAAGTAAGAAGAAATGAAAGTAGAGATTAATTAGAAATAGGAAGAAAAAAAATCAAATACCAAACAGATAATATTTTATTTGTTGATCTAGAATTCTCAAGACATCAAGTGACTTTGGGGTACAGAATTAAGAATATGGTATCTTATCCGATCAATTTTCCTTAAAGAAAAAGTAAATTTTAGAAATAATTGATTATTATTATTATTATTATAAGGATTTTAAAATTGAATTAGACTGTGAATCGGTCAGACGTCTGGTTCGGTCGGATATAAAACTGCGTTTGCGTGAAACTGCTTGTGATTGAATGAAAACCACGGTTTGATCTTTGAAAAAGTGGATTGGCGGAGTTTTGCAAAATCATGCAGTTTAAAATTGGCCAATTGAGTCGCTGATTTCAAATCTAAAGAGTGAAATTAAAGAAATATATTTTTAAATCAATACATCTGCTTCTGTTCTCGACCTTGTCCACGATAGACCTAGTTCGTTCCCGAGTGGGATCTGCTGCGTGAGAAGAAGGCATCGCCGATGCTACATCTTATGTTTCCTCACCTCGACGGCAAACAGGCGCCAATCTAGCTTTAGCAGCTTGAGCCATGCAGTAATCTAAAAGCATTCAGGCTTCGGTGGAACATGAGACAAAGTACAAATTTTTGTCTGTTGAAGAAATTATTTTCACTCTTCCCTTGCTTGACTTGCAGTTTTTTTAGAGGCACGAGTTTTGATCTGGTTACGGTTCCACCTGCGAGTTCAAATCTTCTTCTTTTCAATCTTCCTGCTTCGTACCTTTAAGACCTAGTTTTAATTTCTCTAACTTCAACCATTTAATTACATGTTTCATTGATTTTTTATGTGTTTTGTTATTTGTTTTTGATGTAGTGCTAAATGGGTCTTGGACTCCATACTCCTTGCCATACCAGTATACAAGAGGATGTTGAGAATCAAATGTACTCATTTGGTTTTTTTTTTTTTTTTTCGAGTATCTTTTAGTTTCTGGCTCCATGACATTTTGTCTCGTTTCATATCAAAGTTGTTGGAAATACAAACCCATATTTTAAGATCAAATTCCTTTGTCACTTTACATCCATGTGCAAGAGAGTTGACTTCCCCACACCACCAAGACCTAGTATAGATAGCGGAGAAATGATGAGAATTAATAATTGTGCAGAAGTCCATGGTATGCATTTCTCCCCTAATGCAATGTAGTAATATCAAATTAGCTGATTTAGCCATCCTATGTGAGAACCGGGAGCCACATGATGGCCAGACCACCTCGTGTGGGAACTTGGGGCCACAAGGTTTTTCGTTTTGATTTTTTTTTTTAAAATCTTGTGTTTAAGTTTAATTATTGAAATTGATATTCATATTTGTTGAACTTGTGTTTTGAATGTGAAGAAATTGTATTTATATTTTGCTAAATCAATCAAATGTGCAGAAATTAATTCTAATATTTGCTAAAATCAATGATAGATTATCATATAATTATGTAAATTTTATTAATCAATAATAATATTATTATTTATTACATCATCCAGTTCGACTGATCGAATTGGTTGAACTATGAACATCTCCTTCATCTGGTTTGTTGTCTGGTCCGATTTTCACAATCTTGATTATTATTATTATTATTAGGAAAATTTACATATATATATATATATATATATATACCATTATATACTTATTATTTTACATATCTAACATCTCATACATTAATATTATACATATACCACTTAAATCCCTAATTTATATCATTTCTACCACTCCATCTAATGTCTTCCTCATGACTTTTTTCTCCCATCTTGTTTGGCATGAATCTGAGAGTTTAGGGCATAACTAAACGGGGAATCAGAGCTCGCAAAGGGGGAGGAAGGTGTCTACCACTCCGTCTATCGCGCCGTCTACCGCATACATTACGACGTCTACTTCTCGCCGAAATCAGCTCTTTGCGCCAAGCATGTCCCAAACTTGTTTCCGTCATAAGTTTCCTAATCTTGGCATTCTGCTTCTCCGCAGGTTATACTTCTCACGACGTTCATAAAAGTAGCTTGTTGCCAAGTGAACATTTCCCTCCGATCTTTGCCGTATTATGCTTCAGGCATTCTGCTTCCCAGGTTCTTTTTTACTGCTTTATGCTTCTGGCGTTCCTCATTTTGTAGATTAAGCATGTTCGTTTAGCAGTAAGATTACTGTATACCTATTATTAAGGTTGCTAGTGAAGTAAGCCATGCCCGTTTGTTTTAGTTTAGAATGAGAACGTGGTTTTTTTCATCCTAAAAAAGTTTGTTTTAGTTTCACAGTAAAAGAAGTTTATTTTTCTTGTTGGTAAGCCATGCAATTGAAGTTGATTATGTAATTTGTTTACCAATAACGAAAAAAAAAAGATTGGGAAGACAATGCTGATACGCAAACTACCGATCGCAGTAACTCTCAGATGGAGGAAATACCATATCATCAAAAAAAGGTTAGGAAGATAATACCGTGAAGGACAATGCGAGCACGAGCTGTAGCGGCCTCAGATGGAGGGAAATCGCGAGAAGTCCGACGAAGGAAATTTTTGAGACTTAGCGAAAATGGAGATTTCGGCGTGAAGAAAGACGTCCGACACATGTGCGAAGATTGGTTTGGGGCGGGAAGAAAGACGACATGAGGAATGCTTTAACGGAGTGGTAGAAATTATATAAATTAGGGATTTGGTGGTATAAGTGTAATATTAATGTATGAGGTGTTAGATATGTAAAACAATAAGTATTTAATGATATGTATGTAAAAACCCCTTATTATTATTTTGCATTATCATAATTATATAGATATATTTCAAAAAAAAGGGGGGGGGGGGGGGGGGGAGAAAAAAAAAAAAAAAAAAAAAAGGGGGGGGGGGGGGGAAGGAAAATACAAAAAAGAAGAAGAAGAAGAAGAGAGAAATATTGTAAAAAAAGGAGAAAAGGAAAAAAAAAGAGAAAAAATATATTTTTGTGCTTGGTTCATCGTGCACATTTGATAACGTCATCCTTGTCGTCCTCCGCACATGTATAAGTTTCAAACTAAAAAAAAATCTCATTCTCGGTATTTGTGTCAAGCTAGAAAATCACATATACGCGCTCTTGTAATACGGTAGGAGGGAATCCGGTGCGACATATACAACTAAGAGGGTATGCCCTATATACGCTCTTGTAGCATGGTAGGGATAATCTTAAGTACCCGTACATGGCTCTGTACCTACGGGGAAAGAAAATTGTGCTTTTTAATGGGTAATTTGAAGCTCCCATACACGCTCTTGTAGCGTGGTAGGATCGAAGATTGTATGGCCTCGATTTTTATGGACACCTACCATAACGCTTTTAGTAGCGTGGTATGATGGCCTAGTTTTTCGAAATTTTTCCTACATGGGGGAGACGCCGGGAGGCTGCTGAAAATTTCGGTGAACATGTGACTTGAACAATAGAGGATTTGAACTTAAATGAACAATTGAGGACCAAAATTTGAACTCAAACAAATAGTAGGAGACTTGAATGGCTATATAGGGGGCTTCTAGACTTGAACCGAATTCAGATAATTTGAACTTAAACAAAATGTATAAAGAACATGAACTCAAATGAACTACAAGGGAACTTGGATTTGAATATGATATGGCGACTATGAACAAGCGACAAATTGGACTCCAAATTAATATTAAATGACAATTTGGACCTTTCAAATGTACATCAGTACGTGAACATAAGACTTTGGGTGGACAAGCCCTCAATGCACATAAATGGCAAACCTTACGGTTCAAATGACTTGAACATTCAATCAAATCAATTCCTAAATGGGAATAAACAACACTCATATCACTCATGCAACAAATATTGGGATAGCACTACTATCTACTAGAGGTCAAGATGCTTCTACAACCAACAAATCAAAATGCTAGAAAATATATCGGTCTCCTACAAGCATTGAAGATTAATGCATAGCGGGCATCAATGAACAAGAAAGGAGCAAGTGCAAGTGATGACCATGCCAATCAGCTTGTATGTAAGGAGGCATGAATGCAATGGCTACAATAACACTTTCAATACAAGGTGACATTAATAACTCACTGATCGATGTATAAAGAGATAGTTAATGAAGATAGCGTAGCCAGAAGTCAACATCAAATTGCTAATGTGTATAATGATTTGCACATATTTAATGATAATGAAAATACTTCATAACACAACAAACACAATGAAGGGGATACAAGCATGCCAGCTCCTATGAGCTATTATAAAAAAAATATGTTGTATGCTCGATACATAATCCACAAGAAAAATACAAAGTGACTACATCAAATGCTTAAGCCTACGAGTCACTGAAAAATACCTATCATATATAGACAAAAGCATTTATAATAAAATATAGAAAAGTACCCATTCATATAACAGTCCACTCACAACCATGTAATGCCAAGAAAATGAGAGACTATGTCTCTTAAAAGTTCTGAACATTGATGTGCTATGAGTATAGCGATTTACTAGCTAATATTCATGAAGAAATTGGTGAGAAGTATAACTTAGTATGCACTCATCATCAATATGTAAGAAGATGCACTAAGCTTTCTATGGATAAAGAAGCAACTGCAAATATATTACAAAGATGAGAGATCCTTTTGCAAGCACATGAAAGTTAGGGGAGGAAGCTCATTTTGTAGTCCGTACCAGCTTACAGATGGATAACAAGATCGCCCACAAAAAATGATGAGGTTCCCTAACATATAGACATAAAACAACACACAATAAAGGCAGATATCTACTGATTATTAGAATAGATATGCAACAATTATAGCAAGCTTCCTATAGTTGCCTCCAATCCACAAGCGAATAAACCAAACTTCTACAAGCTAGAGAGGATTTAACATGTAGTGGAAGCAACAATGTGATACATTTAGATGTACTCAAGGGGATGCCAATACATAAGGCATTGGGCTCACTAGGTTTAATGATCAATATTTGACAAATATGTTGTTAAAGATCAATGCAAAGCTTGGCAGCCTAAATTCATAATTATAAATAGAGGATACACATGCTATGCCAATTATCTCAAGGACCACAACAAACATAGGCTTTTACAAGCCATCCTAGGAGACCTGTCACATGCCCAAAATCCCCCCCCGCATATACATTATAGCTTGTATACACATAGTTACATTAAAGAACACATATAAGTATAAACATGCATGGCCTCGATGAACGTATTACGGGTACACACGTAACATCTAGGGATGCTGTGTAGGTCAATAAATGAATATAATTTGAGCCCGATCCTTTTATATGGATAGATAAGAGTCAACACGGTTCGAATTATCAAACAGATATACAGTCATGGAGTCGACCTGATATCTATTTTGTACATTCATATAAGGCCTTCAAGATCTATGACAAAAGAAATTCATCAACAAAAATATAAAGCCTTTAGACCCGATCATCTATCAATTAGTAGATAGAGTCAACAAGGTCCAATCAATAAAACATAATTTCCAATTAACACCCTACTGATGGCCATGTTGAATGTCTATCTCAATCAGAGGGGATCCTACCTTTTCAAATGCTATTAAATTCCCATAAAATACAAAAAAATATAAATAAGCCCACAAACCTCGATGATGATCATGTTAAACACAGATCTCAATCGGAGGGGTTAATCCAATGTTTGAAATGCCACCCAAATACTCATAAAAACTCCACAGAAATTTTCAAACTCTTTAAACTCCAAGATATTTAAAACTAAAATCTAACCATAAATCACTTAAAGTAAAATCTATCTACCCTATGCAATAGTTTGCTAGGTGGATAAATTAAAATTTACTTTAACTCATATAGAGTTAATGCCTAGTCAAAAATATCACTAGGATCTATTCTCAAATAACATCCTACCAGTAAGGACAAGGTACGTGTCCTCTGATCGGTGATTTTGCCACCAAATGACATATAAGATAAATGACTATGACCCAGGACCCACTAAACCGAGTGGTTTTTCCACCAACTGGCTCCACTAAATTATGGGTATGTCTAGAGCCAATACGTTCCTTAGTGGCATCAATTCCTTGAGATATGAATCAATAGGATATAATAAAAAAGGCATAATGCCCTTTATTAGCTAAGGTGGATTTAAATTATTCCCCTTAGGCAAATACCTACCTCCAGTCAACAAGGTTCCCTTGGACGAAGCAACCTATGGCTGCCAATAAGGATTCTTCTATCAGGTTGGGTCGACTACCTCCTTTGATTAAGTTGACTAGGGATCACGATGGCCTTGGACGATAGAACCATGGGATCTTGATTATGTCCATCATCCATTCCCCCACTATATGCTTAAGTACAAGATGGTGAATTTTCTATCTTAAAAATTACCCCTTCAAATTTCCAATACCGAACCCATGCTACTACTATATACTAGATATGTATCTCTATGTATCTGATCAACGACTAGCCTTATTCGAAAGTTCTCTCTCATTACCGGAAAAGGGTAATTAACTATAAGGACTTGCGTCTATAGGAAATCAGAACTCATATAATAAAGTCATCACAAAATAAGGGTGAATTTTCTGGGTAGTGTCTTATCTATAAACCCATCTGCCTTCTGAAAATTTACCCTGGAACTTAATCCGTTAAAAATCCCCCAAAAAGCAGCGGGGAAGGCCGAGGCCAAATTTTTAGAGCCCACATAAACAAAGAAAATATCAATAACATCAATAGATGAATTATAAAAAATATATTAAAACCTCACATAGGAATTGACATTAAAGATTAATATCATGAGATGAATGTTCAGGGCAAATTTTGCACTTGTTCATCAACTTGAATTAATATTTAACACGCTTAAATAAAGTGTACACTATTATCATATTGATGGTATAGAGCTTTTCACAAGTTCTCAGCACAAATCAAAATTAGAATATATAAAATGTTTGGAAAAATAAAGCAAACAAAATGTATAACCAAATGAGGCCAAAAGTTTTAATGAATAGAGTAATTTTACATACAACTTTGAAAGCATTCTCATCATAAATTTAGTAGAACTATAGACGATGGAAAAAAACATTAGCAATTGGTTTCCAAATGCAGAGTAATGTTGTTAATGATTTCCAACTTTAACAAATTTTTATAAAAGAGAGAATAAGACTAGATGAAAGTGTTGTGAATCTAGATTTAGGAATT